TGGATTCTCATGCTAAGCCATTGGTGTGCAAGTTCTTACCAAGGTGGAAAGACTTCAGTTCTGTATGACAAGGACCAGCCTACCGAGTTTTGGAGAGGTTTCTTTCCAGAAGTTTGTCCACTAGGTAATGAGTGTTATTGTTTTGGGACTGGACTAGTTCTTCCATTGGTACAGGAAACTCTGGAAGGAAAAATAAAACTTCCCTCTACCAATGCATATCAACACCTGCTCAATTACAATCTTGGAGAATTGTCTGGAGCAATATATGACTTGCCTAGGGTCATATGGTCATTATATATTAGAGGCAGGTGTTGCAATCCATGATGGCAGCCTGCTATCCACTCCCTCCAAGATGCCTCCCCTCATCATGACTTTTTAAGCCATAGCAACTCATGAAGACCCTCTCTTGAGTCATAGATGGCCTATGATTTGAAATATGGTATAATGGAATTAAAATTTCATTTAGTCATGACACCTAGGTTAAGTCCTAGATCACATGCTTACTAATTGGCCTCCTTGGGCAAGTGACTTCACTTCTCTAGACTCAGTTTCCTCATCTGTTCCTTTGTAAAAGTAAAATTTTTGTGACCAAACCAATGAACACACCTGAATACATAATACAGGAACACACATCAATATATAATAATATGTGTATGTGTATATACAACACATATATATACATATGTGTATGTATATGTGTTTGTGTGTATGTATATGATTAGTCCATAGAAAGGTAATTCAGTTGAGTTGGGAAGGATCATTAGAATCATGTTATGAGAACCAGTTAAAGAAATTGGGGATATTGAGCCAATAGAAAAGAAGAATTATGGGGATAGATGATACTTGTCTAAGTATTTTAAGGGTTTTAAAGTAAGAGAAAGATGTGATTTATTCTGTATGGCTCCACAGGGAAGGCCAATGGGAAGGCAGCTTCTGGCTGAGTGTAGGTCATGCTTGAATAATTAGAACTCTTGAAATACAGAATGGGCTACTTTGAAAAGCGATGTATATTTCTCCATCACCAGATGTGTTCCATGAGAGTTTCGATGGCCACCTGTCAGGGAGGCTGCGGAAGGGCTTCCATAGAACGAGATAGAACTAGGACTAGATAGTACTAGTTGCATATTTACCTATGAGTCCTTTGGCAATTTATTTAACCTCCCTGGGCTTCAATTTGCTCATCTGAAAAACGAGAGTATTGGGCTAAATGGCCTCTGAGGCACCTTCCTATGATCATGAAAATCATACACTTGAAAGTCAGTTTAACGACTCAGAATGAATGGCGTCCAATAAGTATGCCGATTAATTATAGAATAACGAATGTGCCGAAATTGCTTGAGCATGCTTGAAAAGAACGTATTTTCACTAGGAGTTCAGACATTTTCTCTAATCTCTCCTTTATCCAACTTGCTTAGCAAAGTCTAAAAGACAGTGGCAAGGTAAGTGGTAGGTTAGCTCTTTCTTAGTTCTGAACTAGTGGGGGGTCCAAGTTAATAAGGCATGGCTGTAATTGGAAATTAATTAAAATTGAATAATCGTGTTCTTAAATTACCCGATCGATAGAGTCAATATGTTTGAAATACTCATAGTGAGTATAGGGATAGTAGCTTAAGATGAAATTGATTAACACCACACTGAACTTGTTAAAAAGTCAAATGAAAACCTAGAAATTGCTCAGAAACTTGGTCTTCCCCTCCCCCTGCCCCAGGCCAAGAGCATAATAAGGGAGTGATAATAATAAAAATATAATAACAACTATTTACACAGCACTTTAAGATTTGCAAAACACTTTCCACACACAATCTCATTTGATCCTTAGAATAATCTTACGATGTGTGTTCTGTAGATATTATTGTTTCCATTTTTCCTGATAGTAAGAACATATGGAATTGTTCATTCTCTGAACCCAAATCCCAAGGTTCTCTGTACTACGGCAGAGGGTCAGGCATTAACCTGATCACTTGCTAACTTTCTGTAGTTGATTTCCAAGAAAATAAGGCCAACTTGATATGACTATTTGCAAATACCATTGTGTATATTAGTAGTTGGCCTAGAATTCATGTCATTAGTGCTTAGCTACATGAAAGTATGTTTAGGGACTCTTGGTTATGCTCTGTAATATTGAGTCTTCCTTGAGATGCTCCCCAGGCAGTAGGTTCTTGACCCAACTAAGCTGTACTACTTCAAAATAAGACTTCTAAGGCTTGGGTCATTGGCACAGCACACAGTAATGATTCTTCTTTATCTACTACAGTGTCTCCCATGAATATCGCTGCTGCACTGCTTGGCCTGAGTGCTTTAAATACACAGGACATTTTGTTTGGAACTTAACACAAACCGCCAATCTAAAATGGGAACAAATTGCAAGCTTCCAATAGGCTTAGACACCCAGTGGCTACATTATCGTCCACATCGAGGGTAATGTTTCTCAGAGTATCAGCTCACTAAACATAGCTATGTGCTTGTACGAGGGGAAAGAAGATGTGCATGAAACCACTATTAAAACTAGCACTGTTCATGGGGAGTTGAGAATAGCTTTACTGAGAAAAACTCCAAAGTTCTTCCTTTCTCTACGAAATATTCATCTAGGATTAAATGGCAATGCCAAGTATTGGCATAGAACAGTATTCCTTGTCCATGATTAATGATTGTAAATGAGTGTTGTTGTTGTTAATAAAGTAAAAGCATAGCATCAAACTTGATTTCAGGGATGATTACAACAGAGAACCTTTTACAAAATGATCATGGACCACTGCTTCAACGGACTTGGCCCAATGGTCTTGGCACAAGGAGACTCAGGTTTGAATCTTGCCTCTGAAACTCACTAGGGGTGTGATCATGGGCATTTCAGCTCATCTTTTTCACATCCACCATGGAATGGAGTGGGAAAACAGGTAAAGAAATGTCAACTTTGTACAAGGCGCTATGCTAATTGTGCTTAAATCAAATAGAAAATCTAGATAATTTCTGCTTTCCAAAAAATTAATGTTCATAACGGGGGAAGCAAAGTCTAAAAGATCATGGCAAGTGAAGCAGATAGTTTAGCTCTTTCCTAGTTCTGAACCAATGGGGGGGCTCACAAAGGAGGATTTGTGTTTAGTTCATGGCAGATGGAAAGGCCTGAGAGTACTTAGTTTTCAGAAAGAGAAGCAAGGAAGATGGCAAGGTTCCAAGACCTTTACACCACCTGTAATATGTGCATGGCAGGTCCTGAAGTCCCTAAATCACAGGGCTGTTGAAAGGTTCAAATGAGGCCATGGATGGAAGGTGTTTTGCAAGCTTTAACACGCTATAAAAATAATATATAAACAAAAGGAGCTATTGTAAGGTGTTTTGCAAATCTCAAAGTGCTAAATAGATGCTAACTTTTATTAAATATCAGTTATTGTTATTGTTGTTTTTACTATATACAAAAATGCTCCAGATGGTTTATCCCTTTGTCCCATCAAGAGGAATAGAGAGATTCATGTGGAGCATGATGGATTGTGTTATATCTATCTATATACATATACATGCATATATCCATCTACGTATATATGAACATATAGGTATAAAACATGTGCACCTCTATATTGTACATGTGTATATATTGTACATGTCTGTATCTGTATACATATACATACAGATTGAATAAATAAAATATATAGACACATACAAATATAAATATACACATGTATATACATACACATACACATATAGGTGTGTATATCTACATATTATGTATTCTATTTATATATGTATATACACATGTATATATAAATATATAGATATGCGCACATATATCTATATAAGTTTAGATATATAAGTATATAAACACACATGTACATGTGTATATCTATATGTTATATATTCTATCTACCTATGTATATAGATACACACATATAGATATATACATATATGTGTATTTATACATATATCTGTATATCTATATATTATATGTTCTATGTATGTATGTATGCATAGTAAACTATATATGTATATAGATACATATATATGAACACACGCACATGTATTTCTATATGTTATATATTCTATTTGTGTATGTACATATAAACATAGATAATATACACAAATACAGATCCATATATAGACTTACTCACATATGTATTATCATTTCCCTTGCCTATCAACAAAACATGTAATAATTTGTATGGATCTATCTGTATATCTTTATGCCTATCATCCCTCTACCTATTTATATGTGTGTATGTGTTTATTATATGAGTGAGTGTGTGTGCATGTGTGTTTGACTAGACCCTTGATTTTATTAGTATCAGAATATCCTGATGAGGGCATTCGCTCCAATGAGGCAGAGGAGTAATGAATCAGTACCCTCCCTAGAGTTTTAAAAAATCACCTACCACACTGAGGGGTTAAGTGACTTGCCTAGGGTCACAAAGTGAAAAAACATCTTAGCTCAGACTTGAACACAAGCCTTCTTAATTTTGAGGTGGACCCTCTGTTTCATGACACAAAATTATCTCTCTGTGTATGTATCTTCATACGTATGTAGGTGGAAATACAGAATCCCTTCCAACAGCCATCAAAGGGAGATGCAGAAAATACGAGTGTTATCATTCTCTCACTAAATAAACTTAGGTATAATTTCCATAAATAAATAAATACATCCAATCTAGAAAGAGAGAGTAAGCCCATTCCCGACTTCAATTGAAAATACTTCCTGCAACAATTATCCTCTTACTTCACAAACTTGACAATTCCCTGTTGATTAACTCTTGGTCTATGCCCACTGAACCAAAGTCTGGTTGGAGACAGAGGGTTCACTGTGTGGCAGAACTGAGCCTCATTCTAAGGCCCTAAAATTCTCCTAATGTAATTTTATCCTGAATGCATTAACATCGCATGCTCCTTCACCCTCTTTGAAGCCTGGTTTTCCATAATACCCGATTTGATCATGGTCCCCAAAGTCTGCCATGCTGACCGGCAAGGCGGCTGCTGCCAAAGTCTTGCCCAGAGATCCATCACCCATCTCCACTCACCTCTCCTTCCCTCGGCCAGGGCCTTCCATTCTGTGTGTATTTGCCTTGATTCTGACGCTTTTTCTGCCCTCCATCTGCGAATTTACACAGCAAAGGCTCAGTGGGGGCTGTAAAGACAAGAAACCAGAGTTTGCATTAGAAACATCCTCCCTCGAAATTATGTTTATGATTATGGAATGGAGGGGGTGACTGGGATGCTTTGTAATGGGGGCCTTTTGAAGTCAAACCCTGCCTCTGTTCATCTATCTGGTCTCTTTTTAGTTCTGGCTATCTTGGCAGATGTTCTAACTACCCAACTTTACAAAAAAACAAAGCACTGGCAAACTGTAAAAGAACATAACTGATATTGTTTTAAAATATCACCAGTCCAGGAAAAACATCAAATTGCCATAGAAGGAGGTTAAGGTGAGTGACATGCCTCCCAGTCAGCTTAGGTACATATTCATTACCAGAATTTGTGGGGCAGCTAGGTGGTTCAGTGGATAAAGTGCTGGTCCTGGAGTCAGGAAGACTCATCTTTCTGAGTTCAAATCTGGCCTCAGATATTTACTAGCTATGCAAGTCGCTTAACCCTGTTTGCCTCAGTTCGTCATCTGTAAAATGAGCTGGAGAAGAAAATAGAGAACCACTTCGTTATCTTTGCCAAGAAAACCCCAAACGGGGTCACAAAGAGTCAGACATGACTGAACAAATCACTTGTGGGGATAAATATTTCTTTCTCACAGCAGCTCTGTTTTTATTCTAGAAACCATGCCAGTTCCAGTTTTTGAAATAGATGCTTGCAGTATTTCTAGCCGAAGAAAAGAGATCTTTTTGCCAAAAGCAGCCAAATTAGTTGTTTTCCCAATAAATTATCTGCCATTTCGAAAAGGCAAGTGGCTGATGACATCTTCGCCTCTCCCTGCTCCAGGTTCCCACTGAGATCTGTCCCCTGAAGTGACAACAGTCATCAAAATCTCAATGTGGACATTTACAAGAGAATATACAATTGGGGTGTGAAACCGCTGAAAATGAGGGGAGAGATTCATGGGGTATGGCATTCATTCCTAGTCTTGATGAGGAAAAAAATGATGGTCATGCTGGTTGCTTCCCACTCTCTTTCCCAAGCTATAACTAGAACTGGGCAACCAGGTCTCTGACCCAAGTTACTGACATTTAGCAGGGGCACTGAAAGTACTTTCAGTTCTTCAGCATCACAGAATCAGCCAGCGTGGTATGGTGGAAATAAAAAACATGCTTGGGGGGGGTGAGAGAACTCTGGGGTCCATAAGAAAGTCAGGGGACCCTGAAGTGGCATTCTGTATTTTGCCCTCTCTCTCTCTCTCATATATATATGTATATATGTACATATACATACGCATACATACATACATACATACATACATACATACATATCATTTCCCTCAGAAGAAGAAAAGTTCCTTGAGGTCTGTGACTATTTGATTTTTTGTCTTTGTGATTCCAGTGTCTGGCACACAGCTGTGTATAATTGATGCTTATTAATTATTCAGTTGGTTAGATCAAGTCCAACTTACAACGCTTACCAGTGCCCTCAAAAAAAGTCACAACCACTGTGGGCTTCAATTTCCTCAACTATAAAGTGATGGGCTTAGACTGAATGGAATCTGAGGTCTTTCTCCATCCTCAAATTATGATCTCGTGATCCTAGGAAGAGGTTTTAGCGCCTACTTAGCCAGAATAATTTGCTAGATTAGGAAGCTACCAGATGAAGAGTTCCTTCCTCCAATCGGCCATACTTCAGATGGTCCCTTGCCCAGCCTACACTCTCTCCCCGATGGAACCCTTCCAAGAAGTGCTGTTGTGGTATTCCAGAGTCCTAATTAAATTGAAAGTTCATTTTGATGTGCGTCCTAGATACGTTTTAAGGCCCTATGTGGACCTAGGTGCTACCCACCCCAAAGGTCAAGTCAGTTACCAGTCAGAAGTGATCAATATGAATGAGTCTCTGTGTTATTTCCCCAATGCTGAACTTGTAGGGGCCTTCGGGGGTGTCAGTATATTTCAAGGCAGCAGTATTACAAAAATGGCGTCCTCTGAGACTTGGCCACTGCCATTTGGATATTCTTATAGTTATCACTCCCACTAGGATCTCTCATTAAGCAACATTGTGGTTCACATTCCACAGTGGATAACAAAGTTACCACACAAAGAATGAATGGACAAATTACAACGGATGGGAGGTTTGTTTTGGATGAGATGAACGTTTGTCGGGATGTGGAGCGTCAGAAAAGAGGAATAGCAAACTCATGAGAACAGAGCATAGTCACCAATTTTCTACTTGTCCTGGAATAGCTTGGGTTCAGACTGGAAATTCTCGTAAAATGTAGCTGGTTTCTAGTTCCTCCATAAACAAAAGCGAAATATGCAGAAAAGGGTCATTTAAATAACGAGGAAGAGGACACCCTACCAGTAAGACCTGCTCTGCTGATTCCGCGGAGATTCTGAGAGAATGGGGTGAATTAATGTATTTCAGGAGCTTTGTGATCACAAAATATCATAGTTCTATATTGCTCTTGGCAGGTCCCCAGATTGAACAGAAACCCATTGAGGTTAGGAATTGCTATAGTTCTGTTTTGGTGTCCTCAATACCTAGTATAGTAACTACTGCATTCTAGAAGCTTAATGTTTACATGCCTTGCCAAGTCTCAAAGAGCTAGTCAGTCAATAAACATTTATTAAGTGCGTACTATGTGCCAGGCACTGTACTAAATTAGACTTAGTATCAGAGGTAAGATTTGAACTTGGGTCTTGTGACATCATATATAATCATCGATTATACTTGAGGCATAGGTGGAGCCAAAGTGCACAGAGCTCTGGACCTGAAGTCAGGAAGACTCATCTTCCTGCGTTCAAATCTGGCTTCAGACACTTATTAACCATGTGACCCTGGGCAAGTCCCTTCACCCATTTTTGCCTCCATTTCCTCATTCATAAAATGAGCTGGAGAAGGAAACAGAAAAGCACTCCAGTATTTCTGCCAAGAAAATGCCGAATGGGGTCATGAAGAGTAGGACACTCCTGAAACAACTGAACAGCAACAACATCGTTGATTTGCCCTTAGCTTATGGGCTTTCCCACATGAGTCAGTTATAGGCTCTTTTTACAGGCAAGATTAAAATTATATTTGAGAACAGGATTGAGATGCCCCTGGGGTCCCCTCAATAAATGGAAATTCCGTGCGTGAAGGAGTAGTTTCTTCAGTAAATGCTTTTTGGCTCCCCTACCTTCAGAGGTCATAGGGCGAGATCTACTTCTGGCCGCAGAATATGATTGGAGAAGAGAATTAAATGCTGTGAGTTTAAACTGGGTCAGTGCTGTGTATCAGCGGCATATGTTTAGAAACTGTTATTTTGGGGACGGGCACAATGTGGAGGGATTCACCTTATTTGGTATCTTGTCAGAGCTAAGGCTCTATTTCTCGTGTTGCATGACCCTGAGAAATTCATTTCGCTTTTCAATTTCAGTTTCCTCATCTATGAAATGGGGATAATAGAATGACAGACGGAGAGGGTGGAAGGTACCTCAGAGACCATCCAGTCCAACCCTGCTTAGTCTGCAGCTGTAGAAAGGAAAAGTGGCTTCTGCAGGACCACACCATTCATGACAAAATGATTCTTCCAATCCCATGCCTGGTTAATTATTTGAAAGAACTGTGGGCACGGACTATTTCCAAAGACTCTCTAAGAATCTCAATAAATTACAAGACGGGAGCTGGAGGATTGAGCACAGGACTGACCACATATACCCCGATGTTCACAGCATCACTTCTGTGCTTGCCAATAACTAGAAACAAAGCGGGTGCTTTTTGCTGGGGTAGCGGCTAAACGAATTAGGGTAAATGAATGTAACTAGATAATACTACAGTGTAAGAAACAATGAATATTAGCTATTCAGAAAAACACGGGAAGATTTGTATGCATTGGTGATGAGTGGAGTAAGCAGATCCAGGAGAACAATGCACAAAAACTGAAATCATGCAAAAACCCCAGTAAAATGAAGCTAGAGGTTATCAAATTTGACCGTCCAAGCTTAGACTTAGAGGAGGAATGGCCGGATGAACTGCCCTTAGTTTCCTGGAAAGGGGGAGGACCTATGACTGTGGAATGTTTCACATGTTGGTAGAGATGGTTGATGTTTCATTTTGGCTGAACTCTCTTGGGTTTTCTAGTACAAGAGAAAGCTCAGTGGGTCAGGGAGGAGGGGAATATTTGGAAATGTGATGTAAAAATAAATGGTATCAATAGAACAAAGATAAGTACAGATTTCAAAATAGTCCTGGACTGATAGGGAAAAACAATGGAGAGATACTACAACCTTAGCCTTCTCCTACCAGACACAGAGGCATCTGGGATTGTTCAGGAAACAAATCCTCCGTTAACATGGAAATATCCCATGAGGTATCCAAACTAAACCATGGTCCACAACATAAATTCAATGTCATGCTACTTAACAATCCTTAAACCCAGAAGATGTCTCTAGAATTTGGGCTTTAGCATTTTAAGAGTACCTAAAAATTTCATTGTTTAAAAGAAAGCTTTCAAATGATTTTTTACATGAAGGGATATGGGAGAAAGTCACCGGTGAAAAAGGTATTTACGTACATTCCACTGATATGATTTTTCTAATATTTAAAAACGTCTCCTAGGCCTCAAGCTCCAATCATCCAAGACATATTGAGGGTGGGGGGAGGGGAAAGGGAATAAGAATTTATTAAGTGCCTACCATGCTCCAGGTACTATGCTAAGCTCTTCACAAATATCTGCTGATCCTTATAACAGTCCAGTAAGAGAGGTGTTGTTATTATCCCTATTTTACAGATGAAGAAACTGAGGTGGATGGGTATAGTGACTTCATCAAAGTCACCATCTACTAAGTGTCTGAGGTCAAATTTGAACTCAGGTCTTTCTGACTCTGGGCCCAGTGATCTATTTATGGTGCCACCATGATCATTTCAGAGTCAAGCTTTGAAGATGTTGATAATGTCCTTTGTATTCCTTGTCATCATTGAGATAAAATCCCTGCCTCTATTTCTTTACCTTGAAAGTTGTCATGATGTCACAAGGATGGAAGACTCACAGAGCTCTCT